GACATTCCTGCTTGATTCGTCACAAAGCTAATTAAACTTAAAATCATAGTACCAAAAATGTACGACAACTTTTCGGCTTATGGTAAATATTTAAAGAAGAATGAAAACGTTGGCGGGCGGACAGGGTCAGGGAATGACCACGTTTCATCATAACTCGGCATAACTCATAATCGCTGAAATTTCTAACTCCCGAGTGTGTGATCATTGCCTGATTCAACATTGAGTAACCCACATAAAAAAATTTCAAATTAATTTCAATCAAAAAATTCAAACGATCACTGCAGGATTTACGTCAATACACCATTGGTTTCGAGGAATCAAAAGTTAAAAAATTTTGCCGTTGTGAACTAGCATAACCCTTGTATCCAATTTTTCACATTTTGCCCATTGTCAACGAAATAGCAATGCAAATAAAGCAGCCATCTATCTCGCCTTTGTTTGCTGTTATCGGAATTTATAGAAAAAGTTTCCAGCCTTTATTCCCTAATTTACCTCTTTGCGAATTTAAAATAAAATTCAACCCCCATGGCAAAACCCAACTTTTTTATGTCCATAAATCCCGATATTTCAATGCATTAATACGTATGATATGTCAGTGTTTGGAAAATATAGTAAGGGATTCGAGTAAATTTATAATCAGAATGTCTTACTCATATATTTGAATACAGATAGCGTTAAATTTGCGTTGGGCTCTTTGAACACAAAGTAAAGGATTGACGTGAGCTTCCGCGATTTTTGTAAACGATAACCATCTCGTATAATTACGAATGTGTTTTGGAAATGCGGTATTTTAAAATCATGATGTTACTCATGAACGATACATCGGAAAATTAGTCTAACGATAGGGGGAATTGCACAGAAATTTTTGATAATATTGAGTGGTTCTCAGCGCCATATGCTATACTATGCCTACATCGGCATATTTGATAAATGTTATCGAGTTCCAGGCCTGAACAAAAGCTTTATACATTCATTGTGAAGCCAATCTAATTGATTTATCTATGTTTAATTGTTGCACAAATATAAATTCAGCTCACTAACACACAGCCATGGAATGTTGTGATCAACTGAACAGCGACTCGTATCGCTCACCCATATATGAAATCAACGCAACGCCGAATAAGGACAAGGCGAGACTAGGGCTTTTTCTATACATAAGGCGCACTGGGTTAGAAGACTTAGCCCGTACTGATACTGATTTTGAGAGTAGCGTTAACTAATCCATACATTTGTGGGCGTTCCTGTAGTATGTGCACCAAGATGGCGCACAACCTGATAACCCTTACTTGGTACACACACAATGTTAAGGTTGTGCGCCATCTTGGTGCACATCAGGTGCACTACTTCAGGTACTATTGTATTCGACGTCCATAAACCTATATTCGACGTACAACACCTATCTTCTACATCCGAAAACTTATATTTGACGTCCAAAATTCTATATTCGACGTTCGAAATACTATATTCGACTGGTGTTCCGCTATAAACTGTTATCCCAGCTGTAAAGGGTGGAAATTTCAAAACCAGAAGCATCAGAATTTTGACACCGACAGTTACTTAAAGCAAGGCTAGCAGACGCCACTATCTTGGAAAGGATATTTCAGTTTTGTTAATCCGACTCTTTCTAATGAATCGGGATATTTTGTACAAAGCCCTTGACAGAAAAAAAACTCATCCGCCACCGCCCAACAAATAATAATTATCCAGTAAGAGTGAGGGCTAGGAATGAAGATTGCGCTGGAAATTCAAATCATTCCTTATCCTTAATTTTCATTTAGTATATCTTTATCTACCGAAACTGGGAGAGCGAAATCCGTCAGAAAATGTATCTGAAATTCACCGAATATTACTCACGGGTGTGGTATCGACGACGTCGTTTCATAAAGATAGAAAGAGCAGCCCAAACTCTCTTTTGTGGCGCAACACGTATCCTAAAATTTGAAAGAGAGAGAACAATTTCTCTTCCCGCTTCAGAGTAGTGAGTCAGCTTGCATAGGATATATTCCGATGTGAATAGACTGAAGCTTCATTCTAAACTTTGCTGTTCGAAAATTTATTTTCATCGAAGCGAAATTGACGAAATCCTTGGATTCGAAATGAAGATTCCGATTCGACACAGTTTTATCGGACTAATACTGTTGATGGAAGCTTGTTTATTCATTAAAGGTCAGTATAATCGTGCATGCTTTGTTCGGTTTGCTTGTTTGCCTGTTATTTTTATTTTTTGAAGATAGGCTGGGGGGTGGGGGCGAGGGATGGAGCATATTCTAAATCAATTTTTTTGGTTATTTGATCCCCAGCTGGTGAGTTAATTCTGACATCAACTAGAAGTTTTCTCCCAGTAAATCAGGCAGGATATTTGAGCTATTCTTATGGAAACTGAACATTGAATAAATTTTTGAGCCAAAATTCTATACTGTTAGCGCTGTTTTTTCAATCGGCTAGTAATATTTGCTTATTTTACAGAAAAAAAAAACTAAAATATTTTAACACCTCACCAGCGATATTCATATATGAAAATTAGTGGCAATAAATTGGTTTTTCAAAAATTATATAAAGCCCCTAAAAATATCAGGCCATCGATATTTAAACAGCATGAACCTTTTATAAGTATAGAATTCAGAAATCTAATAATTTTCGTCCTTAGTGTATTGATGACGTTATTTTATAAATTTCAATATTTTTTCTGAACCACATCAAAAAAAAAATTGTACAAAAGATGATGAAAAAAAAACATTATTTGTCTAAGTTAACAAATTTTACCATATATCTCATAATTATATTGGTAAATAAACGTTTTAGCTACTAAAGGCGACACGACTTAATTGTGAATCGAAACAATTCTTTCGGCGAATTTTGAAGCTGTTTTCTCGCGTCGCACCCGGTATATTTGTATCAGAAGAAATATTTATTTATTCCGGCGTAGAGGATGTCGGTATGACGGTGTAATAGTATGGCGAACCTCGGTTTCTCGATAAAGGTTAAACCTACATTTAATTAGGAAAATTTTTTTTTTATCCGATATCTTATTCTCTGAATACCTCGTTCATTTTGCCAAGTATTGGGTGAGTTTCTGTACTGTAGAAAAGGTTTGATTTACCAGGCAAAGTAATTTGAAGCCTAGGTGCCTCAATCTTAGGGGCCCCGGCATTTAATTTAAAACTGTTTTCAGCCATTTTTAAGTCGTTTTTAAATCGTAAAAGTTAGTTCTAGAATAAAACCGGTTTAAAAGTAGATAATAGTCAATTAATTTTTGATGTCATAATATATTCTTTATTACGTCATTGTTCAAGAGAAATCTCACAAATGGCACAGCCTAGGGCCTCTTATCGTCTTAATCCCACAATGGCGGTAGATCTTAGTAAATGGCTCTTCCCTCATAACGATGTAAAACGATACAACGCTTTTGGTTTTGAAATCTCCGATGCGAGCATCACCTCATTTGATTTGGTTTTTAAACCTAAAATTTTAAATATCGTCATATACACTCAAATGTCCAGAAGGGAAAAATCTCTCATAGATAAGCGGGCGTGGTGGCCAATTGGTGAAGCGTCATCTTGGGGCGGTGTTCGTGCATAAAAATGTTTCCCGCTGTGCAAATTTTGTAGCCATAAGTTTTGAGTTATTTTAAGGTTGCCGCTGACAAGTAGACCGAATGGTCATTTTGCGGTTATCCTGCCATCCCGTACAAATATTTTTATGATCTTCCTTGTTTTTATTTCATTATAAACAAAAGCAGCAAACTATGGGAAATTCAACTTTCAAGAGTTTATTGTTCGTCAAAAAAATTGAAACGATTCTCAAAAACCGGAAACTTAATCGCGGGTATCGGTCAGCAATTAGCCCATGCCCGCTAAACATTGTTGGGTTCCCCAATGGCGGGCGTAATAATTCAAATTTGATTCGACCAATCATCATCGAGAAGTAAAAAAATAGAGCGTTCGCATGACATGTGTAAAAGTATAAAATTTAGTATGGAATGAGCGAATGCGCGCCATAAGTGGATAGGTACTGAATTTGTCTCGTTATGAAAAAAGTTTATTAACATATTTTTTGTTTATCTGTTTTAAAACTATTTTAAAATAAACATATTATAAATGAACATTTCGATCGATTTCTAATTTCAATTTTCTCCTAATAACAGGTGAGAAATGCTGGATGCCTATGGTTTGCGACGGGCAACCTACTTGGAGAGACGTTAAGGTGAGAGTGGTAGTGCTTAGTGGTAGTTTCATATTGTTGGTATTATTTGTGAAAATAAAACTGTTTTGTTTGAAATCGGGAACAAATATAAGAAAATAGAACGTTCTAGCGATTTTTTCTGTAAGTAATGGAGGTTTGAAACTAACACTGAGTTCGATGGGACCCGATACTTTATCCCAGATTCTACGTTTTCACTTTAATCCATGGGAACACTTTTTTACGGCATATGGAAAGACTTGCTTAGCTAGGGCATTACTACTCGGATGTGCAACCTACATATCCATATATTCAAACATTTCTCTTGTTCTATTTCAGAATGGACAGTGCACAAAAGACGAAGAGAAGGCTTTGGAAGGTTAGCGTCTACAATATAGTTCGAAATACGTTTGTTAAACAATCGTTTTATTGGTAAAATTCAAATCATTTTATATCTTTAATGCGTCATTTTTAACAATCACATCTAACGTGGAGTTTAGCAATACCCATCTCATATTCCTATTTTTAACGGGAGAGAGCGGTACATATCTTCTAACAACAAATTCACCGAATTCGGACGGTAAAACTGATGGCTCAAGTTAAATTCTGATTTGGTTCCGCAGCCTTAACGGAACAATTACACGGAATGAAAAGTGAGCTCCATCAGTTAAAAAAGACAATGGAAAAATCAGAGACAAACTCAGTGCTGTCCTCTGTTGCAAGTGTCAAAGAAACAACTACGCCCTCTGTTGCAAGTGTCAAAGAAACGACCACTCCCTCTGTTGTAACTGTCAAAGAAACGACTGCACCCACTGGTGTAGGTCTTAAAGAAGCGACCACGAATTCTGTTTTAGGTGTCAAAGAAACGACCACTCCCCATGGTATAAAGTTTTAATGATGTTATTTGGTATCACATGCACTAGAATAGATACTAAAATAGTCCATTTCAGTCATAGTAATTGGCAATACGGCGATTGTGCGAAGAAACTGAAATAAAAAAAAATTGAAATATATTCACATTGCCATTCAGTACCTTAAAGTACCCAGAACTATAAATCTTGCTGTAAACTTGTAATATAAACTCGTTTTTTCACACAGGATACAAAGACAAGACAACTTCTTCTACCAGCGCTTCAACCGCCATTGGCACATCACCTTGGTCAACTAAGGAAGCCTTTTTCTCTACTTTTCGCCCACAAACTACAAAAGTTGAACAGAGTACAGGTTGGTGTGGCTTTCCCTCTCTCGTTTTTCACTCGGAAAATATTTTCCCACCTAAACGCTTTTTAGTTCGCGTCAAATATATTAATTTGGAATTCCCCAGCACCTGAGGTCCAAAACAGGAGAAATTGCGACAAGGGGATCTTTATGTATTAGTATTTGCCTTGTCAAACGCCGTGTTTGGAGTTGAATGTGAAAATGAATCACAAAAACACTAAATAAATTTGCTGAATATAAGACATCAACGTGTTCACCATAGATTATTATTCAAAAACTAACTTCTTGATCCACGCAAGACGCCTTAATATAGGGCAGAGCAAAATTACCTCAAGATGGCGTCCATAGTCTGAGCGTTGTTTCTCTTGATGCTCATTGGTGCTATCGTTTCGCGGTACATCTGGAGAACTCGGGTCTGGTATCGTACCACAAGTACCTCTGCCACCGCAATGCCAGTCAAATGCTTGGTGATTTCTACCGGATGTCATAACAGCGTGCTTACATGAGTCGTAAAACGAAAATCAAAATTTCAAAATCTTGTTATAAATTAATTTTTACTATATTCATCGTAGATAGATTGCGGTGACATTTCGCGACCTTTTGATGCTCGAATATTGGCAAATTTGTAAAAATTGAAAATTTTGTCAAGATATTCTGATTATCTCGAACCTTCCCGACCACGGGGGCAAAAATTTGAAGCTACTTATGAATATAGGGATAATATAAGAACTAATCGAAATAAAAAACAACAGTAATAAAAACAGGCTAATTGGTAATATTCCACTCATTATGCTGGCTGAAAGCCAAAGCAGGACCTTTGGCTGAACGGCCGGGACAAGACGTTACAAAGTAGGAATGTCCCGCCTAAAACGGGACGTATGGTGAGCCTAGGTTTATTTATGAGCCCTTTCCGCCCTAAAGCCCGAATATTGATCGATGATAGCGGAAGCCGCACCCAATCAGCGAGGCCATAACCACCTAAGACCTTGGTGCCTTATTTGTGTCATTCAAGAAAAAACATAAAAAAATAATCTAGTTATATCGGACGAGTATCGCGGTTTGAGTCGCCTGACCCGAGCTATTTCTTCCATTGAAGATTCGCTTTCCCATGGTGCAGTAAGCACGTGCTTATTTTGCTTAGTGGTCAAGTTTAAATTTTATTCCCAAATTCTATGAAGTCATTTCATGTCATTTCTTAACATGAATTTATTCAATGACCACAATAATGTTTTCAGATAAGTGTGACGTCACATACAAGAAAAAATGCTACCGAGCAGTTGTGTATGATGTACAGAACGTTACATTCAACGATGCCGAAGCAATCTGCAAATCAGTGAACGGAAAACCCGCGAATATTTACGACCTCAAGCATTACCAGCTGCTTCTTCCTTATCTACGTTCACTGATTCCTGCTGGTCATACATGGATTTACATCTGGACTGGGATGGAGTATAAGGTCAGTTGATGGATCACAATCTCAGCAAAGTTTGACTCTTTATAAAGTTAACCGGGTCGATGATTGGCCAAAAGCGTTTTCTAATAAAATTACCAAATAATGATCAGCCGAACGATGCCTTATGATTTATCAGAACATTAGATAATTTGAAAAACCTAAAATATAATAATACATTTACAATAGATTGTGACGTCATAGCCTAGCTGGCTGATCGCGTATTTTATTTATTTTACAAATATTTTAGAATTTTCATTTTATTGATTTCTGGTTTTCGCCCATTTTCATGCAGTTCCAAACACAAGAATGACGCATGTTGCTAACATTACTCAAATCAATACATCATCTATGCTGACTACTTTTACTATGGAGCCTATCACTACAATCAAATATTTTCACAATATGTCAGTTGCAGTAACATTTCAAGCCACAGATTTAAAACTGTTTATTCAATTGTGACAGAACAATCAGCTTTTGCTGTCCGGTGGAGGACCAATCACTATAGCAACAGAAGTGTGGCATCCTAATTTTGCGGGATCCGTTGCATCGTCGACAAATGTTGGTGTTCATGTCGAGAAAAATCCAGTGGACGCATATCAGGGAATAATTAATCGTGCACCAACCTACTCATTCGATGGTGTCATCTGTGAAATATAAAACCAGATCAAATCCTGACAGAACTTCGTTGACGGATTAAATAAAGTAAAAGACAAGAAGAGTTAAATGACTGTTGTTATCTATATAGATTTTCATTAAAATTTTTGTTCGCTTTTCTGTGGCCGTTGTTCTAAATGTTCTAATTATGATAGGTTCATGTCTGATTATGTAAAATTTATAAGCTGCCCATGAACGATCTGATCTTAATCAATTTTATTAAATTGCATATTTTTACAAAGTCTGTTTTTGAAGCATTAAAACGTGATTTTATTTATGAGAGGAGACTAAATTACATGTTTATGAAAGTTAAATTACTGATATTTTTACTTATGCATTTTTATTTCACACTGAAGTCGGTCTGTGATTATGATTAGACAAAGGCCACACAAGTATGTTCGTCTTTATAAATGAAACTTGGTTCATTTATTATCACTCACTTTCATTGGCGGGATTTAAAATTCCAAGAACGGGTTCTCTTTTATATCGAACTCGCCAACACCGGGTTCTCTCATCTCATGAAAACATGTTAAACTGAACCAACAATGAAACAAGAACGGTTTGCAAGAGCCTCTTGAATTCTGCCGCTGCTCACTTATACATTATTCCTTTACTATTATTATATTATTAACCGTATAACCCATGCCTTGAATTGGTCGCCACATGATAATAAATATTGATTGGCTCCCGTGTGGGTTTTCCTTGTTATTGTTCTGAACCAGTATTCAAACCTTGCAAAAGCTAGAGAATTAACGAATACTTTTAATAATGTTGAAGCCAGTCATCAGCTATCGAGCCACACCAACCGCTGCTGGCCGGTCACGGGTTTTATCCACCATGAACTCCTGCATTCGACGTAAATATATCGCTAAATAATCCCATACCCGACAGAGACTGGTAACCAGACTAGAAATCGTGATAAATCAATGGATCGGCTTTCCTCTTCTTCGGGAAAAAATTTTCCTTCGGTCGGAAAAACGCCCATAGCATCGAATAATTAGGAATATTTGAATCTGAACCTTCACATTTTCTACAGCATTGGATGAACAAATTTTCGACTAATTGAGCACGAAAACTGGTTTTTCCAGCGCAGTCGAAACGAGTGACTCATGAAAAATATTGTTTTATCAAGAACGCGTACAATTTCACCGTGGTGGAGGGAAATTACGTAAATGATAACATATGGGCGGCTTGAGGTATGAATACTAGTGAATATAAATCAGATAGAGTCAGCAATGTATAATTGTGGTAGTCGTGCTGAGAAGGTTCAGGTAAAAATTTTCAGGGTGGCTCATTGTCGTCAGGTCAGCAAGGTATATTTGTGACTTGTTTAGACTAGTTTGTTGGGTCATGCGTAATTCAAGCCGGGTCAACCAACTTCACGAGTCGAGCGGATTACATTGCGAGTTTTTGAGATGGCATAAGGAATAGGTGTTTATTAAATTGCCCAGTGCTATGATTCCTAACCGGCCAGGGCCTTCCGGCCTTCACGAGCTGAGCCTACACTGTAAAAAATATCATGGTGTTTACAGGGTGATATATGTAAAAATTACAAATTTTTCACTGTTATTAACAATGACATAAAATATTATGTAAATTTTACAAGTTCGGCTATGTAAAAATACATGAATCTATGTAAAGTTGATAACACAGAGTATTTTTTGTAAAAAGGTCATCAAAACATTAAAATTTCTGTTGAAAAAACATATTTTATGTAAATGTAATTTGGGTCCTCAGAATCGAAACGAAATTTTTTTTTCGAATCCAATCGAATCTCGAATACTTGAAAGAAATAATGTTGTATTGACTGTTCTATTGTAATGCGTCCTTCAGACACATAAATTAGTGAAAACATGTAGTCTATCACTCAGACAGTTCGCTGAGTCTTCACACACAGTAAGTAACATGTTTCTCCAATAAATAACTAGAAAAAAAAATAAGAATTGCATTTTTAAAATTTTGACATGGATAAAAAAAATGAGGGATTCATCTCGACCTGCGGGTAGACAAAAACGAGATGGCGTTTTGAAATTCGAGTCAGAACCGATTCGAATAATTTTTATTGGATTTGAATCTAAACGATCAGCCATACTTATCAGATTTTCTACATAGTTTGTACAGAGGCATATTTGAAACAAAGACGATTACAATTTGCAGCGCTTCGATAGCAATCGTGTCTGTTTTTAATCAAAGCACTGTGTGTCCACAGCCGTGGGCGGGGGTGGTAATTTGATAAAGTTATTGTTATTATTGCGAGTTCTTTTGGGGGTGATCCTAGTTTTTTATTGATTTCCCAGGAATATGGGGAATAACCGGCCAGGGTTGTACCAGGGATAATCGACATAGTGGAATACAGTTTTTTTGTCTTTTATAGGTGAGTTACAATTACAAAGTCGCTATCGATATATTTGGAGTTTTCGTGAGAACCGACCAAGCCCAGAATGTGGTTTGAAATTTTTGAAAAGGCGTTTGAGTGGCCTTTGCCGAAAACAATTTCACAGAGCTATATATTCACAGTACTTTGTCATCATCTTGTCTGAGACGCAATACACGTTTTTTTTTGCTTATCCTCACGAATGACGCGGGAAATGTTGCAATATGTCAAGTGAGAGAAGGCAATTATACTATTTCAGTCGCGTTTCTTATGCAAAGACAAAATTCTCAACAAAATTTAAAATTATCACGCAAACTGGTTTTTCCATTCCTGTCGCAATGGGTGACTCATGAAAAAATTGTTTCCGTCAAAACGTGTAAAATTTCATGGTAACATATGGGCGGCTTGAGGTGTGAATACTCGCAGTTTTAAATTAGATAGGGACAGGAATGTATAATTGTGGTAGTTGTGCTGAGAATGTTCAGTGTTTTTTTGGATTAACATTAGGAATAGGTGTTTATTAAATTACCCACCACCATGATTTTTTACAGCCCAGGGCTGTACCAGGGATAATTGACATAGTGTATTACAGATCATTTGTCTTTTATAGGCGACTTACAATTATAAATGGTTCTTATTAATATCTCTGAAGTTTCTCGTAAGCACCGACCAAGTTCGGAATGGGGTTTAAAATCTCAAAGATATTTTAACTTTTGGAAGATACGCTTAGCGGCCGTTGCTGAAGACAAATTCATAGAACTATATATTTACAGTACTTTGTCATGATCTTGTCTGGGACCCAACTACTAACTTATTCTTAATATCCTTACAAATGACGCAGATGTAGCAGTAGGAAATCAAGTGAAGAAAGGCGATCATACTGTGTTCTTCCGAAGATAAGACCTACCTGGATTTTAAAAATAATTTTAATATAAGCCCTCCCGCCAAAATAAGACCTAGTGACCTAGTCGATAGCGACATTTTTTTTTGACCTGGTCGATAGCAAGAAATCTCTCTTACACGTTTTAGAGGTGTTATGAGAATTAAGTTCAGTTATTCCTGTTGCAGTGTGCTACACTTTGTTTATATTCCGTCATTATTACATTATCGTTCTTTGTGTTATGATCATTGATTGTCGTCAAGCGACAACGGACTGCATCTGCCTTACTACATTAGTTATGTGCCGTTACGAGTATTAGACGGTAGTCCGATTAAGTTTGGCTATACTTAGTGACTCAATGTAATTATGTTGCATGTTCTTGTGTTTAGGTTAAGATGCGTTTTTAGTTTCCTAAAGGCTATAATTTTGGTTATAATAAATAAACTGTCATAACAATTTAAGAAACTAAAATCTTAAATATGGATGCATCGATGAAACCAGTGAGACTTGACCTGAATCTGAATTCTCCAAGCGCGGCAAAGGAATGGAAGCACTGGCGAAAAACATTTGAGAAGTACATTGAAGATTTAGAGATCAGTGTGCAAGAGGGCTAGTCTGTGAATAAACTCAAGAGGCTAATCAACTCAGTATCTCACAATGTTTATGAATATATTGAAGATGTGGACGCTTATAGTAAAGCTATGGAAGTGCTACATAACTTATATCAAGATGCCGAATGAAATATTTGCACGACATCTGCTGATTACGGCAAAGCAACAAACTGGTCAATCCATCGACGAATTTTTACAAACTCTGCGTAATCTAAGTAAAGATTGTAATTTTAAAGATGTTTCTGCCGCGCAGTACCACGACGAACTTATACGTGATTCTTTTATCAATGGTATTTTGTCAAATAACATCCGACAACGTCTTTTGGAAAACAAGGACTTGACTCTTGAATTAGCGTTTTTACAAGCTTCATCACTTGATCTGGCGCAA